GTTGAGATTTAGGGTTTAGGGTTTAGGGTTTAGGGTGGGCGTCATTCATTGGGCTGTTAGGCTCTAGTGTTTTTGGTTTTGAACATGGTTTGCCTTTTGTCTTGAAGGGTGTTCTCCGGGCGTCGGGCTAGGTGGGGTTTGGGGGGTTGAGGGCTTGTGCGGTAGGGTTCCTTATAACCCTAAACCCTAAACCCTAAACCCTAAACACCTTAAACCCTAAACCCAACCCCTAAACCCAACCCCGAAACCCTAAACCCTAAGCTTAGGTTTCAGGTTGAGCCTTCTGGACTTAAACTGCACAAAAACCGGTGTCAGGAGGCTGGCCATAGGAGCCAAAAGGTCTTTTGGCAACCGGGGCTTCTCTCAGAACGTAGGGTCCCCAGACTGTCCCAAATTCCTCAATAAGGGAATATACCGTAGATTATAGTAGGATCCCTGACATGAATTAAGTATGTTCCCTAATTAAGGGATTTCGGAAGGTTTGGGTCCGTCCATATGAGGGAGTGCCAGACCCGACAGTCTTAACAGGTTCCTGTAAGGGTTCCAATGACCCGAAGGGTCCAAGTATTTAAGAATCAACTACTTTCCCAAAGATTAACCTACATAATTATTATCCTAAACCCAAGTACCTCATTATTGGGTCCTTTAGACCCTTAAAAATTTTTTAAAACCTTACATATCCCTTGTAGAGCCCTTAAAAGAACCCCATTATTATTGGGTCCTGTGGACCCTTAGGCGAGGGCTTCTGGGAGCTTCGTTTTAAAGCCGCCTCGGCTTCCGATCAGCACTTGGAGGATGGGGGGGATTTCGTCTGTCAGCTTGGGAGTGCCCTGATGGGGGTTATAAAGATTAGTATTCTTCTTCATAATTTTTCTCAAAGCCAACTAGTATTGTTAGTGCTAGTATTGTGATGATTATTGGTTTAAGAATTATGACAAACATGATCACTACGATATTGTGATAACTAATATGATTCTCACAAATTTTTGGGTAACTAGAACGATCGTTATGCCGGGTTCATAGCCCTACTTCCTAAGTCCGCTGATCCCTGGAAGTCCGAGACCGGTATAGATCCATCATAGAACCTCTGAAGATGCCCTAGGGTTTAGGGTTTAGGGTTTAGGGTTTAGGGCGTTTTAAGTTATGTGCTACGCTCCCGGATCGTTTTGGTAGGGCTCTCGAGGTCTTTTTTGGGGCCTACCCCGGCTTAGGTCGACCATCCCTTTGTATCGCAACCTCGCACCTCAAACCCCAACTTTCAACAATAAGCTGTATAGGGTTTAGGGTTTAGGGTTTAGGGTATAAGCTTTATAGGGTTTAGGGTTTAGGGTTTTGGGTATAAGCTGTATAGTGTTTAGGGTTTTGGGGCCCCGACACCCATGAGCAAGACCTTACACCCAAACTCCAAGAACAAAAATCCAGTCCCGAGGCGGTACGGTCCATGTTGAAACTGGGTCGGCCTTTGGGTTAATTGAATATGTTCAGCTTTATCTGTTTATAGGGGCCCTGCACCCCAGAATCAAATTCCAAGGCCTTTAAAAGCCAACCCAGGAAAGTGATACCATATAATATCGATTGATCGTTAAACACTACCTAGACCCGAAAGAACCTACCCCGCTCAGGCTTCCATATATGATTTCCCTGTTTCGGTCCTGAAAACTATGGTTCTTTAGGGTCCAGGTTTTCCCTTTTGAAGGTCAAGAGGACCCAACAATAAAGACTTGGGTTTTGGATAGTATCTAGGTAGCTTAATAATATAGTTGTCAGAGTGTATGATTTATTACACCCAAAACCCTAAAGCAAGGTGCAAGAAGGGGAGGAACAGCGAGAGGTCGCGCTCTCGAGGAGACCATTGTGGGCCATTTGTCTTTTCATGTTTTGGAATCTCCTTGTTAACCCCAGAAAGTTCCCTTAGTATGAAGGGGCTACTGGGGAACCTAGCTAGGATTAAAACTTCACGCGTTTGGCGTTTCAATAAGTGAGGCTTTCACTGGGTGTTAAAGCGTTTTGAGTGGTTAGTGTTTAGCGGCTACGTGTGCTGGGGTTTGGGGCATTGTGGGTACGGTGTAATCCAGATGGCCCTTGATGGAGGAGTGGTCTCAGGGTTGTCGACGTCATGGGTTAAGCCCTGAACCCTAAACACGGTTAAGGGCTTGTGTCAATGGGAAGAAACGGATTTTGGATGTAGGGAAGCCACGCACACCTTACAGTCAGCGTTAGCATAGTATCCTATGAGAACCTCTGGCTCTAAAACCCTTGTGCTACCCATAAAGCCCTATATACCCATAGAACCCCACAAGACTCCGAACCCTGACGTTTGTCTCGAACCCACCCACACAAGTGATCAGGGTAGCCTTGATAGCAATACTTATAGGTTCGTACTGAGCACAGCAAACGGTTATAGTTTAGGGTTTAGGGCTTAAGGTTAATGTGGGTAGTTCTCTAAATAGGGGTCCCTTTTAGGCTCCTTCTTATAAGGGTGCCGTAGTATACTGGGGACCTACAAAGGGACCCTAATTTAGAGAACTACCCATGTAGTCATGACTACTTATAGCCCCAAAGAAAGCTTTTCTGACCCTAAACCCTAAACCCTAAACCCCAAACCCTAAACCCTAAACCCTTTTTTCTTTGCATTCCACGCCCCTGGATCCTTCCGGACTTAGAGGCCCACGCAACTTACGAAGCCGCTTGGGCCTATAAGCAAAAGGCAAGAGGCAGATCGGTCCAGGTGAAATAGGGGCCTTAATAATTAGAATGGGGGTTTGGGGGGTCCAATTATACTATAGTCATAAGGGATTCTTGAGGGCCGGGCTTTGGGCCTTGCGAAGACTTTCCACCAAAAGGGGCAACCCTGAACAGGTTTTGGATGCCATAAATCCTAAATCCTAAACGCTACTTAAGATCCTGAAGCACCAAAGCCATACCTTCTTCGGGTTCCTTGTTCTGATTGCGTGGTATAAGTCCTTAATATAGGTTTTCGGTGGTTAAAATAAAGTCGAAACCCATATCTCTAAGCCTTCAACCCTAGACCTAGACCCTAAACAAACCCTAGACCCTAAACCTAACCCTTACATCCTAAGCCGTAATTAAACCCACAGGAGTGAGACAAGCTTCTTCGTCGGAGACCTTTTCGAAGCCTGGAAGCGCGGTCTCAACAGACGGGTGTCGCCCCAACAGGGGCTTTGGGGTCTTCGCCTCTAGAGTTTGGGGCTTAGGGTTTGGGGTGTTAGGGTTTGGTCTTGAGGAGGAACTGCTCCAAAGAGGGATCCGGGTTTGGGGGCATGCATGGGTTTAGGGAAGGTTCCGCTCTCAACAGTGGCTTGTGGATGTACCCCCTTTCAGGTTCAGAGAGGATTTGTTCCGAAGAGGGGTTTGTTTTCTGTTTCTGTACATGTTTTTCTTCTCGGATAAAAGGTTTTATTACTAGAAGGACGACCTTTTAGTATCTGAACTCAACCAAACACGCAGCAAGAGTTAGTGACAGTTAGTTGCATGCCAGGAAGGTATGTGGGGTGGCATGTATGTAGCGTTTAAGAGTGTTTCCAGATTTCCTTAGTGTACCCAGGCAGCTCCATGTTCAGATCCGGTCTGTTGCACGTAGAGGCGACAACGTTCAAATAGTGTTCTGAGGGGGGTGCTTTTATGATCCTGCCAGCATGGCTTTTGGGTGTCAGACAGAGACAATCCGGTGCAGAGGGGTTCATAAAGCGCTGCATGAGTGCACATGATACTTCGTTCGGCCATTTTCAACATGGCCGCAACTACCACGAAAGAAGTTTCCACCACACCAATAGAACGAAAGTCAAGGACACGGGATTGTAACGAGTCAATATATATATATATACATATATATATATATATACATATATATATATATGCAAACAAAGGCCCTAGACCCTAAATAAACCTTAGACCCTAAACCCCAAGGCCATAAACCCCTAAAGCCCTAAACCCCAAAGCCATAAACCCCAAAGCTCAAAGACCCCAATCAAACCCTCAGCCCCAGAACTTGAAACTTGGGTCGAAATTGCTGGATCTTCGGGGTGCCCATGCCTAACCATAACTACTCCGTAAAGCTATATAAGGGTACTATGTGGGTTTGTTCTATAATGGGCACCCTAAAACCCTAAACCCAGGACCCTAAACCCTAAACCCAGGACCCTAAACCCTAAACCCAGGACCCTAAACCCTGAAATCAGGACCCTAAACCCTAAACTCAGGACTTTGTATCACTTTGGCAAGATGACCCTGGACGTGATCGAAGCTTCCCTCAAGAAGCCCGGCACCTGAGTGATGAGGGCGCCAAGTGCGGAGGTTCTTTAGGGTTTAGGGTTAAGGCTTAAGGGTTTAGGGCTTAGGGTGCAGGGCTTTAGGGTTTAGGGTTGAGGGTTGAGGGTTTAGGGTTCAGTTTCAGGGGCGTAGGTGTTTGGGTATTCGGGGAGATGCTAAACACAAAACCCTAAAGGCCCTAAACCCTAAACCTTAAACATCCCTAAACCCTAAACCCTGAACATTAAACATCCCTAAACCCTAGACCTTAAACATCCCTAAACCCTAAACCTTAAACATCCCTAAACCCTAAACCCTCAGCACTAAACCTCCCTAAAGCCTACACCCGTAACCCCAATTACGCCCTGGACCGAAGATTCGAGCTTTTCTTTGCACCTGGGCAGTGAACGACTGCGGATTTTGGGTCAGATGTTTCGAAGGGAGTTTCTTGGGGGGTGTCGTCGGGAAGAGCACGGTTTAGGGTTCAGAGTTCAGGGCTTGGGGCTTAGGAGCGGATTTCATCGTACTTGGAGCTTGAGGGGGTCGGGAGTACCATGGTGCTATACTCTAAACCCCAAACTATACCACATATTTACAATATGTATTCTAAATCCTGTAAACCCTGAAGTCTTGTCACGTATTTCTAGTGAACAGTTTTGTGGGCTTTTTTAGCTGCTGTGTGCACGTACGTGTGTATGTGTATGTGGTAGCTTCTTGACGCCGTCTTTCAGGCTTCAGTTAGTAAAGAAAGTGAAGCCTTTGATGCTCTTTTGCCTCTTCCCGGGCTCTTCATGCTCCGCGTATGGCAGATATCTGGTGTAGAACTGGCAGCCATACCTGCAGAGGAGCTGAGTGATGTCCTGGCCTTGAAGCAGCACCTGCGTGTAAGGAAGGGCTTGCCCGTCTGCCTTCAAGAACTTCTCCATGATGGCATCCGATTACAGGATTCCAATAAGCTGGGTGCCCCTATGGATGTACAGCTGGTCTTGCTATCCCTTGCCAAAGGGCTGGAGGCTGCACAGGAGCTTAGAGAGGCTGCGACCAAGGGGGAGATCGAGGTAGTACGCTTGCTGTTGAGGGCTAGCACGGACAAAGACTCTACAAACGAGCTCGCTGGGTGGCATTTTAGGAAGCTTGTTTGTTTCCCTTATGGTCTTGTAGAGTATATTATAGAGCTCCCATTCCTAGCTAGAAACCCTAAACTCCTAAGCCCTAAGGCCTAAACCCTAAATCCTCAAGGCTAGATCTACAACCCAGGTTAGGGATACGAGCTCTTTTGTGGGCATCTTCCAACGGCCATGTGCCCAGGTCTGCGCCTTTAGTACCCATTTTTGCTCTTCATTTAGATGTCCCCCAAAGATTACCGACGAGTTCGTAGGAAACCCGAAACCCACCCTAAACCCTATATGACTTAAACACTGAACCCTGAACCCTAAGCCGTAAACCCTAAACCCTGAACCCTAAGCTCTAAACCCTAAACTCTAAACCCCAAGCCCTGAACCCTAAGCTCTAAACCCTAAACCCCAAACCCTCAACAGGTGCAGACAGTGCGGCTGTTGCTAGAGTCCGGTGCAGCTCAAGGCTTTACGGCCCGCGAGGTGGGCAAGACAGCTCTGACCTGGGCCTGCATGCGCCTGGGTCCATATCTAGGCTTTAGGGTTAGGATGTTTAGGGTTTAGGGTCTAGGGCGTTTAGGGTTTAGGGTTTAGGGTTTAGGGTCTAGGGTTTAGGGGTTAGGGTTTAGGGTCTAGGGTTAGGCTTTAGGGTTTTAGGGTCTGGGTCCGAATCTAGGTCGTAATCCAGGTAGGGTTTTGGGTTTATCTCGGTAGGCTATTGGGTTACTTGAAACTTTTTCAGGGTTCCGGGTACTATGATCCTTAAATGATCCCTTAGCTGGATAATTTCTAGTTCGTGAACAACCAAGAGGTAGGCCACTGGGATATGTTCTGCTTTTCCGTATTGGGTTTCAGAGGAGGAACCCAGGCCCTAAACCCTAAACCCTAAACCCTGAACCCTGAAACCTAAACCCTATACCCTAAACCCGAAACCCCAAACCCTAAACCCTGAACCCTAAACCCTAAACCCTAAACCCTGAAGAGTGGTCTTTCCCGCGGGCAACGGCCCAACCTAGGAATGGCCATTCGGGGGTGGCACGCTTGCTCCTGGAAGCCGGTGCTGACAAAGATTCGATGGACTCTTGGTTTAGTTTTTGGGGTTTAGGGTTTAGGGTTTAGGGTTTTAGGGTTTAGGGGGGCGTTCTTAGGACTTTAACTCGTTGGGTTTCTGTATGAATTATAATACATTTTTCCGTTTCTGGTTGGGTTTCTATATGAATTATAATACTCAGCCTTTTTTAGGACTCTTGGCGTTCTTAGGACTTTAAATCGTTGGGGTTTCTAATTGAATTATAGTACTTTTTTCCGTTACTGGTTGGCTCTTAGGACTGTAACTTCTGGGGTTTCTATATGAAATATAATACTTAGCTAAACCCTGAACCCTAAACCCTAAACCCTAAACCCTAAACCCTAAACCCTAAACCCTAAACCCTAATCCCTAAACCGTCTTTTAGGGAGGGGCTCAGAAGTCAGCCAAGGACTGGCAGCGCAAGACAGCCCTCATTTGGGCGTCTGGCAACGGACATGTTGATGTAGTGACTCGCTTTCCGACATTACCCCTCTCAAGACTTTCAGCCAGAACCGTAGGAAAAAGGGTACGGGTTTAGGGCTTAGGGTTTGGGGTTTAGGGTTTAGGGTATGAAATGGAAGCCGGGAAACCCTCAACACGACATAAGGATTGCAACTAAGGGGAGACGTCAGCTCTGAACCCCAAGCCCAAGGCCCAAAGCCTTAGCTGAGCTTGCCGTTGGAATCTTTTAGTTTAAGTGAGCGTAATAGGGACCTGGTGGTAGATAACAGGGGGTTTTCCTGGCCATGGTAACTTGAGTCTCAACTTTTTTTACCAGAGCCCCGACCAAGGTGAGCTTGCTGTTGGACTCTGGTGCGGCTATGGACCTGATCGACCAAGAAGGCAGCACGGCCCTCCACCGAGCAGCAACCAACGGCCACACTCAGGTCGTGCGCCTGCTGCTAGAAGCCCGGATCGGTTGCTACCTTTAACCGGCTTTTTTGGTAGGTTCTGACGATAAGTCCGGGTGTAGAAGCTATAGGGGCCCTACAAGGTTTTGGTAGTGGGAGCCAGGGTTTGGGGGGGCGAATATAGCCGGTTGATAGAGTCTGAGGTTTGGATTTAAGAGAGGGGCTTTGATATTTAGAATAGGGTTTTAGGTGTCCTTATTATACTTATAATCTAATATACCTTAAACTACCCTATTCTAATTATTAAGACCCCTATATTAGGGTTCTGGGTTCTGGGATCGTTTACTCAGGCGTTTACTTAGGCACATTAGCCCAAATCCCAAACCGCCGCAGGAACCAGGAGGTCTGGTTTTGAAAGAAGGCTTATAGGTCCATTGAAGGATGACACTACAAGGACCCTTAACTACCAAACCCTCACTTCCGATTTCGAACCCTAAACACAAAACCCTAAGCCTTAAAAACCCCTCACAATTCTGATTTCGACACCAAACCCCTACACCCCAAAACCCCTACACCCTCATTTTTGATCTCGAAATTTCAACTAGGTTTCTCAGTAATACCCTTTTGCCCTTTTTGTTTTGGGGTTTCCCTATCAACACTGAATATTAGGTAAACGGGTACATTTTTTGTTTAGTGGTTACTGGAGAACCTAAACCCTAAACCCTAGGAGCCTAAGCAAAGACAGCCAAGGAAGCTGGCGCAGCCAAGGATATTGCGGACCAAGACAACAAGACCGCCTTGATCTTGGCAGCTAAACAAGGCCCTGCCCTATCATTCTACAAGGTTTAGAGCTTATAGGGTTTAGGGTTTAGGGCTTAGGGTTTAGGCAGAGTTCCACAAAGTTTCTATTCTGCCATAGAGCTAGGATGAGTCTAAGAGCCTTCTATGAATGTCTTGAAGTGTGGGAGTACAGGGTTGTTTTCCGATAAGGAATAGACAGCTCGGCTAAGGTACCTTCTTTAAGGGCCGGCTCTTAAAAGACTAATGCCATGTCTACTATTCTTTGCAAGGCGACGCTGCAATGACCTTTAGAGCAACCCGTTAACCTTTGTGAATACGTATAGAAACCTTATAACAGCCTCATGTAATCCTTCTATTTTCGTTTGAAGGGCAACCCTAACTATACCCTACGCCCGAAGCCCTAAACCCCTAAACCCCAAGCCCTAAGCCGTAATCCCTAAACCCTAAACCCCTAGCAAGGCCGTGTTGAAATTGTGCGCTTGCTCTTGGAAGCTGGAGCGGACAAAGGCCTAAAAGATCGGGAAGACAGGACAGCTCTTCGGTGGCAATTTGGGCTCAGGGTTGGGTTTAGGGTTTTGTTTTAACTCTCTGATTTCGCTTTAGGAGGTGCCTGCTCACATGTATCGTGGTGTACTTTTGGTCTCGAAGAAGTGCTTTGGTGGAAGCATAAATCACAATCCAGGCATACAATTGGGCATGGATCTGCGGCCGCTATGAGGTTTCTCATTTGCTGCTGGACCCTGAGTCCGAACAGGACTTAAGTGAGAGACCGAGCCGGCGCAGCAGCTTTTACTGCGTTGCGCCATTTCAATTGTCACGTTAGGCATTGATGGCAGATGCGCAAAATCCAACACATACTACCCTAAACCCTGAAACTCAGTAGCGTCTTCACCACTTTGGGGTTGGGGATTTCAGGAACTGCTTTCGGACATAGCTGGATTCTTCTTCAGGAACTTACTTTGGTTCATAATGAGGAAATCTTTGTATTCACCTTTACACCCCTACGGTTGATGATGCAAATCCTGCATTACGCATAATAAGGAATATACCACAATCCCCATAGTTCAGGGTCCGTAAGGCAATGCAGGATTTATCTCATCAGTAGTTTTATTGCAGCTAAACCCTCAACCCTAAACCCTAAACCCTAAATCCTAAAGCCCTAAAACCCTAAAACCCTACAACCCTAAACCTAAAACCCTAAA